CCTTCTCTGTGTATATATATATATATATATATATATATATATATATACACAGAGAGAGAGAGAGAGAGAGAGAGAGATTTATTAAGCAGCACAACTGTGTTCAAAACTGATAATAATAGCCAGCTTATTAAAATGATTTCTGAAGGATAATGTGACACTGAAGACTGGAGTAATGATGTTAAAAATTCAGCTTTATCATCACAGGAATAAATTACATTTTAAAAATAGTAAAATAGAAAGTGTTATCTTGAACTATAACCACATTATTTCACATTATTACTGTATATTTGATCAAAATGCAGCCTTGGTTTGCATTAAAGACTTTTTAACAGTAGTGTGCATGTATATGTGTATACTATACACAATTATAAACACATATAATGCACTATTAAAATAATATAAAATTTGTTTTTTTTATTATGTACAATATTATTAAAATGATACTTTTAGAATTACAGCTTTAAAGGACCACTCTACCCGTTAATTGGTCGTTTACTCACCGGGGCATGGATGTACCATTGAAATTCAACTTCCGGAAGGCTTCTTCATATTGTGACAGCTCGACATAGTCAATAAGCCACTCCACAACCTTATCCACTGTCCAGTTGTACACTGAGGAAGAGAAACACAAAGCTAGAATTAGGTCAAATTCATGAGCATCATCACGTATCAGAACTCATTTATCAAAACAAGCTGATAAATGCTGTGTAATACAATGTGTGACCAAAAGTGGGTGGTTTTGACTTAAAATGAGTATCCTAATGGAGTTTTTAATTTAGTAAGAATCGTGACGGTTTTTAAAAAACAAATCGTTACATAATCAGAGGTCTGCAGGGAATAGAGCGAGAAATAGAAAAAGTGTCAATATCTGATTCTGAAGAAGCTTCTCTTTCATGCTGGATTTATCGCTCTTAATCAACTGATAAATGATCCTAATCATACTGTGTGCTTTTTTTGTTGGCCTTTCAATTGCTGTTTGTACGACTGTACAATACGAGCCTGGTGAGATCTTGAGAAGAAGCCAAATCTTTCATGTCAAACTATATATATCTTAGAACAAACTTACTTAAACTGGGGTTTATGAGAAAACTACAGGGGATTTGTGAGGTAATAAAAGCTAATAATTAATAAAATTAATAAATTTTTTTTTAATAAAAACTAATAATCCATAAAAAATAAAATCTTATGTAAAAATAAGAAACATTAAAATAAAACATACTAAAAAGATCAAATATTATTTGTTTTCATATTTGTAATTATTTGTTTATCCACGTCACATGACTTTTTGGGACCTTGCTAGGGTTATCTGCCAGGTCACATTCTGGCGATGAAACATGAGAAAATTCGCAAAAAACACAAAAAGTAGTTTGCCAGAGGCCAAGTTTCATTGCAATCAATCAGCTGTCAATGGCAATGACACTAAGCGATCAAAGCTGCCCATGATATTTCAATGAAAAGGGAAAAGACACCAAAAATAAAGCATTCAGAGCAGAGTGACAGCTGGCATAAAAACCATCCAGCATAGACATCACATTTTAAAGGAGTACAAATATTACACTGGCATAAATAACAGACATATTCACTGTCACACCACATTTGAAAAAAGGCAGACACTGCCAGCTCTCAAAGAAAACACTGTAAGAGTATATCTCTCTCTCGCCTGACCCTGGCACAAAACTCTGCTCAGTGTGTGTGTGTGTGTGTGTGCTGGGACAGATCAGCTTTCATATCCTTGGCTCTTCAGCTGTGCTTTGAGGAAGAGCTGCAATGCAGGATAAAGCAGTCCAGAGAGAGAGAAATAAAAAGAGAGAGAGAGAAAACAAGGACCAGAGGAAACACAGAGAATGCCTGAACCCTAGACAGACATTGTGGAGGGTTTATAGTAAGATCCAAGAATACAGTATTTCAATGTGCATGCATGACGCATCATGCAATCCCATAATACAATGTGCTTGACTTGACTTTTCATTTCCAGATGAAGGAAGTGCAAGTAGCACATGTGTTCATAGGGATGTGGCAAACTATATTTTTAAAACGGGTTCATTAGCAACATATCAGCACTAAGTGCAACTCTTAAATAGGATAAATAACAGGTTTAACATATAAATAGGTTAAATTACAACCTGCATTACCGTTCAAAAGTTTAGGGTTGGTAAGATTTTAAATGTTTTTGAAAGAAGTCTCTTGACTGCATTTATTTGATCAAAAATACAGTAAAAACAGTAGTATTATGCAATGTTATTACAATTTAAAATAACATTTAATATATTTTAATATGTAATTTATTTCTGTGATGGTAAAGCTGAATTTATAGCATCATTACTCCAGTCTTTAGTGTCACACGATCCTTCAGAAATTATTCAAATATGCTGATTTGCTGCTCAAGAAACATTTCTTATTATTATCAACAGTGGCGGCTCGTCGGGGGAGGCACAGCTTCCCCATAATTTTGAGGTGAAAATGGGAGGAGGACGATTTAATGTTAATAAAATTCACAATTCATGTCAGTTCATGTCTCAGAATGTGTATTATTTCACAGTTGTAATACCATAACGTGAAAGCGCCGCTTTTCTATCGCGAATGTGCCGAATCTGCTGATGTAATTACAACCGCTAATGATAGAGAAGGGGAGGGGGAGGCCGGGGGAGAGGTGAGCTCTAGTGCCTCCGTTGGTAAAAAAAAAAAAATTAGCCAATCACCATCGAGTGTTCACTTTCAGCGCTGAGGAGTGTTGAGAAAAGAAACCTCGTAAGGGAGGCTAGCTAAAAATAATATAGATAAATTATCTAACTGCCAATTTGGTTGCTGAATAACCAGTATAATTTTCTGTTACTTTGCATAGTTTCGTTTATGATTTGAGGATTAGGTCACACAAACTAGTGTTCTTATGGGCCTCTTAGCTTAACAACAAAAGATAAGGGAATCGTATGTTCCTTGCATTTAAAAATTGATAGGTAAATGTATTGTGTTGTGATGTCCTGACTTTACACTAATATATGGTTACTTACTAATTAAACATTATTTTATTTATTTATTTTTCTTTCAGACACAAACCTGTGATACATTCCGGTCCACAATTGCTGCAATGTGCAGCAGTAGATACACTGCAGCAAGCAGCACACTTTTATTCCTTTTAGCATTAGTTTTACCAAGGCCTCATTCACAGCTGTACATTTATGAGCAGGAGCACATGTTGAGTGTTCTGGAGCAGATCTGGAATGTATCTAGATTTGGAGGAGGTGTTGAAAACCATTGAAAAGTGGCTCCCTAAGCGTTCACACTCCTGCTGCTAAGAGGCCCATGTTAACACTCAACACATGCCCTACAAAATGTACCATGCATTAGCATTATGATTGTACCATGTTACATTAAGGTATATACATATTGTTATTATTATTATTACTAAAAAAATACAAATAAAATACTCCTGTTGTAATATTTCACTGTAAAATAAAAAATATATATTATTATTAACAAAAATAATAAACATTGTTGACATTTTACAGATGTACTGTAAAACAAAAATATTATGGCATTGATAATTTTTCCATGTTCCTTTACCACTATATTAACATGGCCAAGTAATATAAAAAAAAACATGTTGTTATTAATGATACATGCCATGGTAAAACCATGTGGTATCACAAAATGAATTTGGGAAATATTTTAAATAATTAACCAATTTTTTTTTCCCCGCAGCATTTCATTCAGCAGTACAGTTCAAGGCACATTGTGCAGTCAACTGAAAAAACTAAACATAAAAAAAATCTGACTCTGACGTTTTAAAGTCAGAAAAAACCTTGTAAGAATGTGAGTTCGCATTAGCAAAGGTCAACCGATGTGCGGTTTCTCATGAAAAGGTACAACATATTCCCCACTGCATGTGAGAAAAGCATGACAAGCAGCTTTTTGCGCTAATGGCTCATTATGAAACGGTCGCGCTCACCTTCCGAACTCTTCCAGGCATTCCACAGGTCCTCCACGCTTATGAGCTGGTCGTCACCGTGGAAACTGTTGTGCTTGGCTTTGGGGTCATGGTAGTTGAGGTCCTCTCTTAAAAACTGTCGGATAACAGGGAACAAAATTAAATCTATTCCAATTAGCAACACAAGGATGCCAGTGAAAAATTTTAATGTGATTGCAATATTCTCCACTAGCAGAGACGTATTCTTTATGTTTCCTTTATAAAGAGATTGAGAGCAGAGATGTATTTATTTTTATATTTCCTTTACGAAGACCTTGAGATGTGTAGAAGAATTTCTTTGTGTAGAACAGCACAAGCTGACACAAGCATACACTTAATGCAGCCCTTAAAAGTACTACAGTGGTACCATGGTATACTGAAGATATCAGATATTACAATACTTACAATAAAATATTATAAAAATAAAAACGAATGAATATAAAAACAACAACAAATTAAAAATGAAAATACCAAACGTAAAATGAAAATACCATAAAATAAACACATATATATATATATTATACATACAATATTATAAAAAATAGAACATAAAATAACAAAAATAATATATCAAAAATAAAACAAAATAAAACACATGATATAAAAAAATATTCTGAAAATAAAATAAAAGATCAATTAAAATTTTTTTATAAAAAATCTATAAGATTAAAATAAAAATAAAATGATAAATATATCAAAAATAAAACAAAATAAAACACATGATATAAAAAAATATTCTGAAAATAAAATAAAAGATCAATTAAAATTTTTTTATAAAAAATCTATAAGATTAAAATAAAAATAAAATGATAAAAATAAAAAATATATAAAAATACCAACAATAAAATAAATATAGATATCAATAAAATATATATTATATAATATATATTATGAAATATTAAAATAAAACAAATAACTAATGGTTATTACATTTTCTAATGGATAACGGATGCTTTTACAGCTATGTAGGGACTTAGCCTATATCTTAACCCAGCTATGACAAGCAATACTACATTTTGTTGGTCGCTTGGTTTCCAAGCTGGATAGTCCTGCCCACACCGAAAACTTACTGGACTGATAATGACACTTTGTTTGACCATCATGAGCAAATGACCAGAACATAATTCAATGACAATAAACTGTTTACTCTAGAGAACAGCCAACCCATGTCATTGGACAGGGTCTATCTTACATGTAGACAATGTGATATTTTAAGACATTCTGGGTCTATTAATGCCGTTGAGTGTTCTGAACATGCAGAGAGCAAAGGCTCTGTTTGCTCAGACACAGCAGATGGCAAAAATGATTACACAACATAACGCAACAGAAGGTTTGAGCGCAGTTCACGGGATATTTAAGATGGTAAAGAGCTTCAAACTGTGGTTAAATTGCAATCACTGTGGGAGATTTGTCATAAACATGTAAATATTTAGACAGAGACCAACCACACCAGTTTTCTTGAAATCAAATTTGTTGTTTTAACAGCATTCAAAATGGCTTACGACTGACATACTGAAACATGCAAAGATGCTTGGCTTTTCCCCCAGAGCGGCAATAATTAAAATCCACAATTTCACTGGAAACGATGTCACCAAGCCATTAAAAAAAGAAAATGAGTCATGGTTTTCAAACACAGGCCAAGACATTCTTCAACATGCCCACTCAAAGACAAGTGTCGGGCAAGATGAGCAAGACTGCCGTGTGGAAATCGACCCTGAAAGTAGCGCAACCGTTTCTAATGGTTAATTTTTGCGATCGTAAACTCCACTCTATGCCATCAAATAGACATTTGGAGATTTTGGAAAAAAGACTCTCAGAAGAATACCAGGAAGCTGGCATCCATTCCGTGGGATTTGCCTTGATGCTGCTTCGAGAAGGCTGGAAGCAGCAGGACAGCACGCCCACACAGCATATCGCTCGACTGAAAGGATGCCAGGAAGGGGCAGGCCCTGCAGATGCTTCTAAAACAACACCCAACAAACACGATGACCGGCTTTCCTCAGGCAAATGGCCACCGGTTCCAAAGCAGCATCAGAGATTTTGGATATTATTCATAAAAGAGAGATGGTACAAAAGACAAATGAGTGAGTTTATTGCTAGGGAACATATTGCTGAAAGAATGAACAGGCCTAGCCTGTCGGGACTTGAGTCTTTCGTTGCGGTTTTGAGTGGGCTAGTGTTGTTCAGTGTTAGCTAGTGGGCTAATTCACATTGGTAGCTGCTAGGCTACCTCAATGTGGGTGAAAGAGAAAAACAGATTACAGTATAATGAAACAATGCTGGGTCAGTGAAAAACATTATATAGGACTAATTCGAACTTAATCCATATGAAACAAGTCCGATTATTTATTTATTTATTTTTTGGAACAGCTTATTGAACCGTATATAATATATACAAATATATTATAATATTGGGTTCACACTTGAAAAAAAACAAACAAAAAAAAACATTTCATTCAGAGGCCCAAACTGAGCAAAAATTATGTAATTTGGTACAGAATGCAGATATTAATTATATGACCAACAATTACATTATGATAACTTATGTCAATTAGGGATGCACCGATGTATTGGCCGCCGATATTTATCGGCCGATTTTTCCTCAATTTACAACCATCATCCGAAGAACTGCGTGCTTTCATTACCCATATAACGTAAGCTCCGACATAGACTAGAAAACCAATCAAAATAAGAGTCCCGCCTTAGTAAAGAAGATCTCATAAATATTTAAACTTACAAAAAATATTAAAATGTATACAAAAACAAATAATAAGTGTTTGTTAAAATCGGTATCGGTATCCGCCCCCAAAAATCCTATCGGTGCATCCCTAATGTCAATCCATGAGATTTTTAAAACCGTATAGCAGACTAGTTACATAAATTGCATACAGATATCAGTATGTTTTAGTAAGATGATATTTAAATGCTTGGATTTATGATCAAAGCTCTGTAGTTTGAGAGATGGAAAAAAATAGGCCTAAACATTCATCAAAAGCCTGATGCATCATATTTGATATGTAAATTTGAACTTGATACTTAAGATTTGAATAATCAAAAAAATAATAAAAATAAATAAAATAAATAATAATAATAATAATAATAAAGTCTAACAATGCTGCTTGAAAGTAAATTATATAAAATGCAAATATGCCAAGAAGGTTATCCATCTTATTTTTCATTTTGAAAACAAGCTATTTCCTGTAAATGTGCAAGACTCCGATTCATTACCCACTAAAGGTAAATAGCTAGAAGAATATCAAATGTAGGTAAACTGTGAAACTAATAATAATAATAATAATAATAATAAAGCCTAACAATGCTGCTTGAAAGTAAATTATATAAAATGCAAATATGCCAAGAAGGTTATCCATCTTATTTTTCATTTTGAAAACAAGCTATTTCCTGTAAATGTGCAAGACTCCGATTCATTACCCACTAAAGGTAAATAGCTAGAAGAATATCAAATGTAGGTAAACTGTGAAACGTGCACTATAAACAAGCGTGATTATGAGAAAGAGTTGAAATAATATTATAAATACTGTTTTTGTAGATCTAAAAATAACAGGTTAAAAATGGCTAAAAATAAACTGGATATTCCACAAAAAACACCTACCAACAACCACTGCATCTTTATAAACTAACTGACAAGATGGTTGTTGGATGACTAGTATCATAACTATCTTGAATTATCCTTACTCCTGACTAGTAGTGAAACCAATGCCTCAAATTTGTTCCTGGAGCTCAATGACATCTGAGATGCTAGTGATAACTGCTGAAAAAAACAAGCAAAATATGCCATTTCACAAGATTAGGGCTGGGCAAAAAATCGAATGCGATTTTCATGCGCATCTCGTCAGTAAAGCCGCTTCTGGTGATTAGTAGTAAATCTCTCCAGCACGTGCTTTCAGATGGAGTGGTGTTTACTACACAGAGCCGTAGTTCACTGACAAGCTACACAAAATCACATTCATAATCGGCAATGAATCGCCTGCGATTTTGAACACGATTTTGTGTAGCTTGTCAGCCCTACTAGTCTGCAATGTCCTTGGGTGGTAGAATGTTGACATATGCATTACCTCATAACCAGTAGGGCAAAAGTATTTAAGATGACAAAAACACATGACAAATGACATGCACAATTGTAGATTTTGTATAGTAATTCTTCTTTTATCCCTCGTAATCAGTGGGTTTATTATTAATGACAGCTCAAACTGATCCTAGATGAGCACTCCTGCACATTTTGTGTGAGACACCTACACATGGGTCTGAACTAGCGGTTATTGCCTCTGCAAACCACCTGACTCAGAATAGCACAGTGAGATGGCTTCTGGTTTCCTGCAGAAATGTTCCCTGCATCTTGCAGCCCAAAGAGCAAAATAACACCAACCATGACACACATTGCTGCACTACGTCACACAGGCTGATACAATTCATCGTGTACTAATGCTTTAACAAGCCCAGATCACTGGAAAGGGCATTAGACAGGATGAATTAGCCAAATCTGATTATTTACAGCCATCCTTAGAGAAGGTTAAAAGGATGCAGTCGACTTGAGCACTATAATCTTGAACTGCTAATAAGGCTGCGACTGTTTGTTGCGGAAGAGAAAAATCCCATTCATTTTCCCCATACATAAAATATGCCAAATTCCCAGTAAAGAATTACATGATCATAATCTTGAACTGCTAATAAGGCTGCAACTGTTTGTTGCCGGAAGAGAAAAATCCCATTCATTTTCCCCATACATAAAATATGCCAAATTCCCAGTAAAGAATTACATGATCCATTATCCAATAATCACAGAAGAAAAAATAACAAAAATAAAATATGATTAACCTAAACAATATTTCTTATTAGTATGTTTATTATTATTGTTATATTGTTATTAATATTTAATATGAATATAAACAATGTCATTATGTAAATATATAGTAGTATATTATAAAATATTATAAGAGTAAAACGCAACATAGTTCATTCATTAATAAAATAAAGTACAGTCTTGCACCTTTTTTCATATGTTTACACATATCATTTTTATTTTATTTCATACAGATAGTTTATATATATTTTTATGCTTTAAATCAAAGTTTGTAATTTTTTGAATAATCTGAGGTAGCTGTATTGGTTCATGAATTTTTGGAGAAAATAAATTTGAAAAATACTTCCAAAACCATGGCAGTCACTGTTGTACCCCATAGTGTACATGAACAGACTAGGGATGGAACGATTACCGGTTTCACGATAAATCACGATAAAATGCCCTGACGGTTAGTATTATCGTTTAAAATTGAATTATCATCAAAACCGTATTTGATTATTGCGATTTTGAAAACTCGCGGTAAATCCTGTCCAGCCAGCATCAGTCTGACGCAGAAGCAGCATGCAATGTGGTTGTT